GCATGTGATTTCAATAAGATGTGCTTAATTTAATGACTGATTCTGGAGTATTTTTTATTCCTTCTAAATTCCGTAATGATAGTGAATGTGATCAATTTAATTACTTGAAGATATATAACGTGGAAAATCCATAAAGTTTAATTTCAGATAAAAATAACTTTTAATACGTCAAGGATTTAGAGATGAAATAATACACATTTGGTCACAAATTTGCATAAGCAATTTAAAACTGTATTTCTTTCCTTAATAATGTCATTTACTAGAAAATTACATACTTGTTGAAAGCTAACTAATAACCTAATTCATAATAAGTAATTTATCATTATGTTTCATTAATCGAAAGATTAAAGTTTAATACAACACAAATCCAATGTAATAATGTACTTAAATAATCAAATATTAATATGAGCATTAGTCTGCCGAAATGTTCTTACTAAATCTGGAAAAAAGTTTACGTCAGAGAAAAAAAATCAAAGGGTACTGAATCGAGATATTTAATTTAAATTTGAAAATATGCAAATGGTGAAAGGAAACTTAATGATTCTAAGCTATATTGTCATCAACTTTTATGATCATTGAAAGGAAACTTAACGTTACTCAGCTATACTGTCATCAACTTAAATCAATACTTATGAACTTTTAAAAAGAACCTTATGTCCTGAGATATGAAAAGTGAAAATTGGTGAAAAACATTCCAAGTAAATTTAGACAGACTTTGTGGGTAAATTTAAGTTATTTCAACAGCTAGATGGTTGACTATAATTTTAACTTAGTTCTCCTATGTTATTGTAGTTTGTTTGTTAACATACATTAATTTAGACTCGTTGAAAGGATTGTTCAATTTTGGACGAAATTCTTCAAAGCATTGCACTGCAAATGTACTTTTCTTCTAACACTTTTTACTTCCTAAATTCATACTTACTATGCTAAATGATTTCTCAATTAAATTTATATATTTTTGTGAGCCATTTTAAATTTCATGTTAATTATATGCACATTTCTAAAAGATTCATAAAGCGATATGCTTTTACGAATACTTTATTCTCAGTAATAGCTTTGTCTGTTTTACATCATTCAAATTGGCAACATACATAGTGCATATAGTGAGATTTGAATGCACAAAAAATCAACATCTGAAGGAAATACCATTATCTTTGACTTTCATTTCACACATATACGTTCTGAATACTCTACGTATCTTGGCATGTCCCACCCATTTGAGAAGAATTCAAAGAAATGAACTACTATAACGTTTTTAATTCCTTCCTTTTGCTGTTCTGGACATCAGACATACTCTCAAAAATGGTGTTTATTATTCCATTTCGACACAGAAAATAACAAATAAATAGTTTAAAACATTTGATGACCAAGTTTAAAAATATTCCTATACAGACCTCGATATAATAATTTACTGCATTTCTGATCTTGAAAAATACTAATACTGTATCTCAAAAATATGATGAGAAAGATGATAAGAACAATTTCGTGTAATAAGATGATTGGCAAAGACTTTCACTGTGCGATATGGAACAATATTGCGTTTTATTGTATAATCCTTAACTCCGTAATAATTTTGTTTACGTTGATACAAATGCAGTACGAGAATTCATTACATCATTTCTGTACGTTTGTTTACTTAGACAGAGCTTAATTATTCTCTGTGGGGCTAAGTAAGAGACAAGTTTTAAAAATGTATCTATACAAACCACGAGATAACAGTTGACTGCATTTCAAGCCTCAGAAAATGCTAATTCTCTGTCTCAGATGTACTATCTGGCTACTATAATTTTTTTTCAGATGACAAGGAACCGTTAAAGGAAAAACGAAATCTGTTGTTGGTAAGTTGTAATAAGAAGAAGAATTCTTTCAGCTATTTATTGCCCTCATTCTAAAGAATACAGTTACATATGAAACTCATTTCAAGTATGATTTTATTAATTTTTTTATTTACGTCGACTGCATACAAGCTCCAGTCTTCCCACTTGTTTTAGATTCATTCATATGCGAGAAGCAAGATTAGTATCTCGAATCCTCTATTAGGTTAGGTTTATTTCGATTTTGACAAAGGACTGGAGGATTATCTGTATACAGTGTCTCTTATTGACTTTCCATGTTGAGAAAGTAACTGAAACGTCCTTACTAATAACTGTATTTTTCGGTTTGGACCACGCCTAGAGTGTTTTAGCGGATTTACCGCTTGGCCATGGTTAGGCTGTTCTTGATAAGGATGTACGAATTAATGGAAAATTTTTATGCAGTTTTCTCTGATATTTAATCCAAATACTGTATTTTTAAACATTCCTATGTGACATGAAATTGTATATGAAACTCATTTAATAGAAAACCTGATTGAAAAATTGGCAAAGAAACACGTAAAATAAATTTAAAATTAAATAACGAAACAGCCTTGGATTAGCATAGATATTAAATATAACTCTTTCATATTGAATAAAATTTTAAGCTAAATCTACTGCGAATTCCTTTTTATGCCTAGTTTTTATTTGTGCACTGGTGTGTTGCTCTTCCAATTAGATTCTTTGCCCTGAATGAATATTAATATCACTTTGATCTCGTATAACAGCAAAATAAAACATGGAGATCCTTTCCTAATATTTATTCTCTTATATGCATCTCAAGTGCTCTTAGATGTAATTGAATGCTAGAAGACTTTCAAAAACTGCTTTGGAGATTTGATACCAATGTCTTGATGCCATATACTTGACATGACGAAACAGAAAACGAGAATTGTTGACTTTTACCATGAGAACTCAGAGTGGTTCATTTTCTGTTTCAGGGACGTTCGATGTTCTGAATAACATCATATATTATAAATACTAATAGTTTTAAAATTATCTGATAATTATGGTTATTATGTTTTTTTTAATTGATGAAAAAGGAGTAGAATTCTGTATTCTCTACCAAAAAAAGTTCATAGCCAATCTCTGCTAGAAGCAAATGTATTTGGTTTCTTTCATTCATATTCCATAAACTTTCTCATGTTCGAATTATTCAGATTCAGATATCGGTCCGTTGCGACATGCCATTAACCAAATTCATTGCAGACTTTGAGGGCCGCAGAACAAAATAACATTTAATAAGAGAATTACTTGCAAGTTTCATTTATACCATTCTCATGAATGGTATGTTTGTCAAGTTCATACTTGACAAACATTTTCGTTTACCAGTGCTTTATAACAAACCGGTAACAATATTTCACAATGTTAGTTTTCATGGAATGGTTAACTGTTTAAAGGAAAGCATACAAAACCTATCTCTCCAACTGAAAAGAAATTAGCATCTTCATGCAGAACATACTAAAAAATATGGTGTACATTTATATGTCGCACAGTAGGACCCGTACAACATTCCTCGGTTTCACATTAAACATCATAAGTCTGACAGATTACTTAGTAAATTTAAATAATCTACAGCAGCCAAATACCATTTGTGTTGCCAGATGTAATATTGATTACAATGTATAGCATGCTTCAGCTCAGCTTTACTTATTTAATAGTTTAAGGAAATACTGAAGTGATTAGACATCATTCTTACATTCTATAGTAATATTACTAACAAAAGTAATATTCTCCCTTTTTAAAAATGTATTCTTATAACTATTTTTTTTTTCACAATTTGACTATTTGATCTTTCTTTTCAAATCTATTCTTTTAAAGTAATGTACATTTTTTGCACAAAGAAAATAGGAGTTATTGAGCTTTACCAATTCTACCAGTTGCTAAGTGGTTAAAACTGCTGCATACTAGAAATACGACCTGATTTCGTTCCCAAGTAAATGGGCTGGCTACTTGATTGGTTTTCCTGGCTTCACTCATGTGTAACAATATGGGCCCGCTTTCCTTAGAAAATCCTTTATTAATGTAATACTCCCTTTAGGCAGCCAGGCTTCGTTGCTTCCTCATGTTAAAATAACTTAACCGTAAGCTATATTTGAAACAATACTATCTTTTTCGCAAGAACAAATACATTGATAGTAGTAATTAAGAGAAAGTAATAAATAGAAAGTAAGTACTTTATAAGAAAGTAAAGAAATATTCAAAATATTAGTGGAATGACATAGACTTTTTAATTAATGAATAACTGAAATGTAATTAATTTAGATATAGTGTAGCATGGGTAAATATATCTAACATCACTTGGGAAAGTATACCTTCTGAATGTGAATAACTAACTTAGGCAATCATATCTTCACGCCACTGGAATAAGACTTTCTAAGAATCCTTTTTTGTAGTTAATCAATCATGAAATATGTGAAGCGTAAGCAGAAAATTTACTATCATAAATTTACAATTATTTAGTTCTTAAATAAGAAGAAAATAAATTAATAATTTCTAAAAGAACAAATGTAAATATTTATATGTGAACCAGTAAATGCGTTTATTTTTGTGTCTGTGATGTATTACATTCCTGAACGCATATTTAATTAATTTATAATTATGATCCATTGATTTATCATTAATATATGCCTATGAAATAAAAAATAGCACAAGAGAAAATATAGAAAATTTCTTAAACGCATTTGTAGGAGACTAAAATCATTAGAAGCATTACCAAGTCTTGGAACACACCGTTCCCTGGAGTCTCATTTATCAAAGCAACATTTGTGCAACAGCCAATCGAGAAAAACTTTCCTTCCCTATAAAGGAAATAAAAGAGGCCCCCAAAATACGCAGAAGAAAAATTAAGTAATATTTCTTCCTCCCTCAAGTTAAACCACGCGATAAATTTCGACCAATTAGCTATTCAAATTAGAAGCAGTGATTCAGGGGTGTGTGAAAAGTGGCAGGGTTTGGCAGGCCATCAAAAACTACCGAGAATGCTGAGAAGAAGAGAAAAAAAAAAACACCAAAAAAGTTAGCTGCCTATTTGTCTATATTTTATAACTTGTCACGCACAGCCGTTACTTCTATTGCATAAATTTTGAATTATTTTTATAAAATATGTAATGCGAGATATTTGAAATTGTTTTTCTTCTTCCCTAGGGTGTGCCTTTCTCACCTATTGTGCCAGAGACAGCGCCCTGAAGGCCCAGTCCGCCCTACACGAGCAGAAGACTCTTCCCGGGGTGAGTGCAGAAATTATGTTTAACCAAAAAAAGCACCAATTGTTGGTTGATGGCCACAAAAAGACTTTTTTATCAACCAAAAAAAATTCTTCAGATTTTTTTTCTTCAGATGCTACTGCTGCTTCAATGAAACGGAGAACTGCGATAAATGTTTTAGCTTGTTTTCTTAGTTTCCTTTTTTTATTTTACTTTTACGTTAAGAAGTAAAGGATGAATTTAAAGTGAGTCAATTTTCATTAAACAAAAAATACAAAACATGGGAGAATATTAAATAAAGACTTAAGTCTAAAATTATAAACCTGTCAACGCCTACTGAAAGAAATGAACAGATAATCTAATAAAAATTCAATGAAAGTTGAAATTCTTAAATTAAGTCGAAATTCTTAAATTAAGTTGAAATTATTAAATCATTCATCTTAACTTCCATGGAAACAGATGTTTAACCTTTGCAAGTTTCATTCTTTCCATAGGAATGAAGAGTATTCTAGTTATCAATAACTTCTGATCAAAAATGACTATTGTACAAGTAGATACAAAGTAAATTTTAATAAAAAATGCTTTCATTTGCTTTAATAAAAGGCTGGTACAGTGGTATGTTAAAGCAATATAAAAGAAAAAAAAACAAATTACAAAAAAGTTGAGAACATGTTTTCCTTGAAGTAATGTAAATTTAACTTACTTCTGCATTTCGGTGTACTTGTATTTCAAGAATTTGCTTTATTTGAAATTTTTCAAAACTTTAAGAAATAAATCCTAAATTATTTTTTCAGTATCTCTTTGTTGGTTTATTTATTATATTCAATATTTTTGTTTAACCTTTTATGGTCTTTGAATCATCTGAAACCGTTTTCCTTGTAAAATTACAGTTAGTTATTTACCGCTATAGCTACTGCAAACAGTTTCTTTGAAATGTTTTTTGATTTGTCTCAAATTGTTGTAACATACATTGTTTCGGTAGAGACAAAGTCACATTTTTTGAAAGCTGTTTTAAAAAAAAATTCTTTTGAAGAGTTCAAGCAGAAAATTTGTTATGACATTGGAGCAATATTACAGTTTCATGTGCCATCGCTTGCTATTGGTGCTTTTTAATCTATTCACTCTGTTTGCTGACTTCGTTCGTTAGTGAGTCGAAAGTTCCCCGAGAATTTGCACCCACTCTTTCAGAGATGAACTGGGCAAAGTTTTCTATTATGCTAATGAAACGGAAAGAGTTCAGCCTCAATTTAAAAACGTAAAACGAAAATTAATCAACTTTATCAAGAAATTAAGATAAAATAAAAGTTAAATATTAGTTAATAAAATAAAAAGTTAATTGTATCAATACATGAGTTACATGAGTAACTATAAAAGCACTGCTGTTTAGTTTATATGCATATATTTCGTGCATTACATAGCTAAACTTCTGAACGTATATTGATTAGTGTTTGCTTGTATGCACTTGAGTAAAAAGTACGCTAATTTTCTTAATTTCTAAATGTATGACTACGAATCAAGCTACATATGAAAGCGAAAAGATAATAAACATATTAGTAAGTGATCATTAAGATACAATGTAATCATATTTCTGTATTACAATTAAATATTTCTTGTCTATGAAATAAATGAAATAATAATGAAACGTTTATGAACGTCACTAACAAGCTACATTTATAGTGCTTCTAAGCAAATAGTGCGTTCTTTTTACAGATGTCTTAATTATCCTTCGACAAACCCAGCTTTAGTACAAAGTACTACCACTAATAATAATAATAATAATAATAAAGTAATAATAATAATAAGTTAAATAATCTTAAAAAAAATAAGTTACTGGAGATTTGAACTCGTTCTTTTGATATAAAAAAATAATATTTCTATGCATATATGACCGTATAATAAGATTCTAGTAAAAAGATGTTGCAGCAAAAGGCGAACCGATTACGTCGTGCGACTTTATCTGCACGTATGAAGTTACTTATTGAAAATTTATTCTTAAATGGAAATTTTGCATCCCTTTTGAAATAAGAGAAGTCGCAAGTGAGACATCCGAAACCTCAAGACTTCATAAATTTTCATTGAAATTAAAGCTTTATTTTACTACTAGTGAAACTTATTTAACTGAATACTTACTATTTTCTGTATGCGGAAATGCGAAAAATCAGCTTTAAGGTCATTTTATCCACAGTACCTAAAGGTTTTAAATGCAAATTTCTTTATATGAGCATTGATGACAAATCTTTCAGTAACAAAGAAATCTGTAGAAATTTCCAACGACATTCGCCACAGAACATTCAGATTCCTTAAGCGGGTTAAATAAAAAGAAAAAAAAAAAGTGAAAATAGTGACATTTCGCATTTTTTTTTTTTTTTTTTTTTTTTTTTTTTTTTTTTTTTTTTTTTTTTTTTTTTTTTTTTTTTTTTTTTTTTTTTTTTTTTTTTTTTTTTTTTTTTTTTTGCAACTTTCAAAAAATGGTGTATTAAATGGGGCACACCAATAGTATTTTCAGCTGTAAAGTGGTTAAATACAATACATCTATGAAGTTTGAGTCTATTTATCCATTTCATTTGAGGTTTGAGCAAGCCCCACGTTACGCGCCTTCTGGAATTTTAGCCATTTTTTATTCCATTGTACATCTGTTTCATTAATTTCGAGCCCAGGAGAAGACATGGTTATAAGCGCATAGTGACTGCGCAACAAGGGGGCGTTTAAAATACACGGAGAGCCGAATTACAAGAAAGAAAGAAAGATTACTTGCTTTGCTTATCCTTGTCACGACTTTAATTGCTATCTTGACTGTCCTTACTAAATTGGACTTTCTAGCTTCATTATGCCAGACTTAGCATCACCGAGACCGATATGCCTTATTGTCAACAGAACGAGTAGCTTATCCGACCGAACACTGTTCCTGAAAAGAAAGTATGTTATTGCAGGGTTGATTTTTCGCCTTTTGGTGAGGTGTTTTTACGCCGTTTTAATTTGTTAACTACCTCGATTGGCTAAAGGCACATATAAGACTGACGAGACCAAGACTCTATGCTGTCAATGCCCGATTATGACAGAAATAGATAAGATTAGAATAGAAATCCTCTCGAGAGACTGTGACCGGGGAAGAAGGGTGGAAGTCCTTCGGACCGTCCAAACCAAGATATGGTGTCTTTTCAAACGGTAGAAGATTAGCCGAAAGAGAAGATAGTATACGTCAAGTCGAAACTACTTCACACAGCAGAGGAAAGTTGGAAGTAAATAAAGCGCTTCACATTTAGCCAAGACCTCGAACTTTTGTTCGCCGTATTCGGACGTTAACTTTTTCTGAAGTCCGACGTCTTCAACCGGCTTTCATTAGGTGACCGTTGATAACTTTAGCATATTAATAGCACTCATTTCTACAGAACAGTCTACTTGCGTTTTCTCCGCTTGATCCTATCCTACTTGCGTTTTCTTCGCTTGATCCTATCCTACTTGCGTTTTCTTCGCTTGATCCTATCCTAAATAAAGTAATTTAGCGTACAATACAATTTATATAGATTTGATAGTGTTATAAAATAAAATAAATACATTTGAAATACATTTGAATTGAAGAAAACTGAAAATGTTATTCTTTGCACTTTTAATTTTTCAAAAATCTAGACAAATTAACTTTTAAGAAAACTGAAATGCATGGAATTATAAAAAAACTCCCTTCGTTGATAAGTATTAAAAGTATTGTTAATATAATACGAAGCAACAAGTGTAACATGTATGGCAAATGGCTGCTGTCTGAATTTTTAGTTCAATCTCATATTCAATATTTCATCATTAGATATAGAAACTTCAGTCATCATTAATGGATAGTTAAAGCATTAAAGATACTGAAAACAATTTTAAAAAAATATTTCTCAAACTGAACTATAACAAGTGAGATAATTTAGACTCATTGATTTAAACTCATTTTTCATGGAAAATGGGAAGAATATAAAAAGAGATAATGTACCCTCCAATAAAAGGTTTCTTAATTAATTATGCAAACCATTCCAATAAAATGAGGAAGGCACTCAAAAGGTTGAGTAGTAAAGTTAATAAAAATGTGTTTCGAAGGGATAAGAGTGACTTATTTATCCCCACATTTTGCAATAACTCTATTTCCAAAATTGCATTTTAGTTTATTCAAATTTTCGTCATTTCAGAAAATGTGAGGTTTCCGAATTAGCTTGCTACATATAGGTTTTCTTACTTTTGTTCATGTGTAACGTAAATGGGAGCAAATTTCCCTTAAATAGTCCTGCAGTAAGGCATCCTCCCTTTAACCAGATAGTGCTTTATCATAAGCTATTAAAAGTCAAACTGAAAATAAGACAGACTGATAAATTTTGATCGTAATTTGTTGCGATGTGGTCGAAAATTTTATAATTTACCAAAACTGGCTCCAGGAAATTGCTGAGTCACATGCGGCTCCCTTAATAAGCAGAAATTTTATTTATTAAATATACAATTGAAATTAAATAAAAACATCTTTCATGTTTGTTTTATATGGATCATTGACTTTGTAGGGTTTCCCTTATTTTGCATATTTCCTGAACTCCTCAACTTTCCCTCACATTTTCTCGCCGGGATGTAAATTTCTATTTAATTTAATATATGAAAAGTTAAGTGAATTGAGTATTTAAATGGGTGAATCTCTGAGTTTATTCAGAGGTGTTTTCGTTAGCCAGCGCCCGTTTCGTTGCTATCTCGCTGTTACATTAGTAAGCTTTTTGGCCATTTCGGATTATCGCCACGCCTGTTAGGTTTTTGTTGAGTCCACCTGTTAGGCGTAACTTAACGTGCTAGTACAGCACTATTTTATTTTAGATTTTTGATTTGAATTATATTCTACGTTTCAGTCTCACCGCAAGTTGACAGTGCCATTGTAAAGCAGAAACACCGTGCCTTTCTGTTAACTATTTGAATTAAGGATTATTTTCACCCTTCTTCTGTGCTGGTAATTTATTCACATCTGCGGGAGAATTCGCCAGATCCAATGTAGGATCTAAATTTATTTTATATGGAATAGCAGAGACAGATCTTATAACGTAATTTTTACTATAACATTATTATGCGTATAAGAAATAGTTTTCATAATAGAGAATAACTCACAGATTGCAGTGTGAGAAAAAAACTGTATCTAGTAATCGAATTTTTGTACGTTATGAATTAATCAAATGATTTAAGGTTAGGTGTGCTTCTGTATTTTGCTCATCATGTGTGATAAATCACTCTATGTGAAACATTAAACGTT